AGCTGTCTAATTATATAGAAAAATTAAGCTTTTGTTTTACTATTATCATACTTCTAGTTAAGTTATAATAATATGCAATAGGTGCTTTTTAGCTTAATCTTATGATACTGATAAAAACAATTTATTCAATGCTATTAAATAAATTTTTTAGTAAATTCAGTTAATAAATTTCACACTATTTAAAATGTAAAAGAAAAGTTATAATCTATTAGATAATTTATATATCAAATAGATATTTTTTTTTACAAGTTAATTAACTTTTTATAATATTTTAATGTTGTTTTAGATCTATAGATCTACTCTTCTTTATATTATTTTATTAATATAGTCAAATAAATCTTATATTTTATAGTAGTTTACTTGTAATTTAGAAATTTTTATAATTTTATATCTTTATTTGCAAGTTGAATTGCAGCTTTATTAATTATAATATTAAGATTTAAAATTGAAAAATTAAGGTGAAATTTATAAAATTATTAAGTAATAAAAATTATTGAGTAGTCAATTATATTATAAAAACTTTTAATATCATACTAATAATAACTCTGATGTTAATGATATATAAAGAAAAATATATAAAATATAATAAATTATAGCTAAAATAATTAATTTATTGATAAGTTTAATATATTTTATTTTACTTATTTTTTGTATCTAATATATCTATTTGAGAGCAAAAACTTCTTTTAAACTGAACAGTAATATTATAATATAGTTGCTGATAATATAAGGTATAATTAATCTATTTTAATCTCAATTATATTTAATTACTCTTATTAATTCATTTTATTTCAAAAATTTATTTGTTTTAATCCTCAATTATTTATATATATTAAATTACTTATTTATTTCTATATTTTAATTCTCAGTTTAAAATTTTTACTGCAGGTATCTAGTTAGATAAATGAATTGAAGCTTTTATATTTTTATCATTATGACTTTAGTTGAGATATAATAGTTACATATATAGAATATTTAAATCAATCTAGCTATTTAAAATATTTTAACATAGAATATATTATTTTATTTTAATCTAAATTGCTTTTAAATCTAATTGTGATTTTTATAAAGTATTTTTTTTAAAAAAAAAAATACTGTCAAATATGAAAAATAGATAATATATAAAGAAAGTTAATATAATATAAATAGAAAAATTATATATAAATAGAAAGTTGATAAATTTAAAATAAATAATTTTTTATGAGACAGAATAGTGATAATTATAACATTAAGCTTTTTCTATTAATAAATAGAGAATTTTATTTTTCTTTTATAAAGATTGAAGATAATTGATATTCTTATACTTATATTTCTTATTTTATATACAAATTTAATTTAAAAGATTAAATAACAACGTTACAATATAAAAGATATCTCTCAATAAAATAACTATTAATAAAAGATTATTATATTTATTATATCTCTCTTATATCATAATCTTTATATTGCTTATAATATAACTTATTATTAAATAAATTTTATTACTAAATAAGCTATATTTTTATAATATATTGCAATTTAATCTTGAATTTTTACTGCTACAAGATATCAAATAATGAAGTTATTCAACTTGTAATAAAGAATTTAATAGCTTAAATGATCAAAATTTATGCTACAACTAATAAAAAGTGTTTAATTATTAAGAAAATACTATTTTATTATTATAATAAGTTGTATCTTTTACAGAATGAAGTAGTATTCTAACATAAGAAGATGCTCTCAAATCAGCAATAACAAATGCTTTTACTTTATATAGAAAAGTTTGTAGCTTATAACTTTGCTTTTATATCTTAAATTATTTAAAAACTTCTTATGAAAATCATTAAAAAATATCTTAAAATTTATTAAATAAAATACTTTACTGAGTTTGATTAAAAAGATAAAATAGTAGATAATTCCACTTATTATTATTATTATTATTTAAGATATATTCAATTAGTCACTATGATATCTACTTATTTAATACTACATTGTAACTAATTTACTAATCTAAATAATAAATAGTAAATAATTTATATATTTATAAAGTTTTCTTTTAAAATAATATAGTATTTAACAATTTTTTAACAAAAAATATATTTTTAATTTTAATTTTAATCTAGCCTCTTTTTCAACTTAAATAAAATAAATAACAAAATAAATTAAATTAAAATAAATTAAAATAAATAAATTTAATACAAAAAAAATCTTAATAAAAGTATTTTTAAAAATATTCTTAGCTTTTTTATTAATTAAATATCAATTTCATTTGATAATAAATTTTATTCTTTAGAGATAATTTTTATTTTCTCTATAAACTTAATTAAAAACTTTCTTTTAATTTAATATTAAATAGAATAATCATATTTAATTGATTAATGAAATATTTTTCTTTTAATTTTTTTTCTTATTGTTTAATGAGTAATTTATTAGTATATGATCTGCATTTTTAACTATATTATAGAAATTATATCTATCAAAGTTTAAAGAATTTTTCAATATTTTTATATATAATTTAAAGTAATTATATTTAAGTTTTAATTATATTATAAAGAGAAATATTTTCTTTCTATATTTTATTGTTATATATTTTTACTTTGATTTTATTTTATATCTTATATACTGAGTATTTTTTTTTTAATTTATTCTTTATTTATCAAAATATAATTTTTTAATCTTTCTTTTAATATATAATCAGAAAATATTTTTTTAGTTACTTTTTAAGTTTTAGTTATAATCTTTAATATTAAATTTACTTTTTTTTTTAAAAAATATCTACATTAGTAGATACTTAAAATAAGTAAATATGAATATTTTTATTTTAAATTTTATATTTTTAAAATCTTTTTAATACTGTTTGACTATTGAAAAATATTTAAATATTATTAATATTTTCTTTTTAAGAGATTATTTTGTAAACTATTATGAAAGTCTTCTGAATTACAAATAATTTAATATTAAAGACTTTATACTCTTTTTATAGATTCTATAAAATATCTTATTTTCTGAATCTAATTTAGAATATTTAACTATTATATAAGTTTTTAAATATTTTTATTTACTTTTTAAATAATCTGAATATATCAGTAATGAGTTCTTCTTTTTTATTTCTATAAATTTTTCAATATATATAGTTGTTTCCTCTTTTTTTGACAGTTTACTAATAGTAATATCTATTAATAAATTTAGAGATTTTTCATTTATAAATAGAGCTTATTGTGATTTATACTTTCTATATTTAAATTTGATAATTGATTTTTAATTATAATATATATTCTATATAGCTAAGAAGATAATATCTTCTTTAAGTTACTAGAATATTTAATCTAATCTAGAAATCTTTCTCTATTTAAATCTTTTTTAATATATTTAAAGAATATAAAGTAAATACTCTTATTTAAATTGAATGATTTACATTTATTTTATGATTCTTACAGTAGAGTTCATATAACTTTTATTAAATCTAATAGCTAATGGTCAAATTAATGTCTTTATTTCCATAGTTCTAATTGAAAATGCTTTAAAAACTTATAGAATTCTTTTTAAAGCTTTATTCTATAATAGTTAAAATTAATTTATAATTTTTTTTTTATTTTTTTCATCAAATCTCTACTGCATAATCTGATATAGAAGCTGTATAAGCTATATATAATTATTTCATAGATTGAAAAGATAAATTACTTTTTATATTAGAAAGTTTAATAATATTATTTAAAGTTCTTTTAGTCTGAGTAATTCTTTTTTGTATATAAACTTTAAAGTTGAGCTTTGAGTTTAATTATACTTCTAGTTATTTTATAGATATTTTTGATTTAATAACTTTATCTTAAAGAGTAATAGTTTTCTTTTATTTATTTTTTTAAAGTAAAAATAAATTAATTTAGTTTTATTAATATCAAATTAAATAAGATTTTTACTTTTTTTTCAAATATTTTCTTTATAGCTCTTTTTTTTAATATTAAATTATAATAAAAGTTTTTAATTAAATTTATAAAAATAATAAAAATTATCTCTAAAAAATGAATTTTAATCTTTAATAAAGTTAATATTTAATATATATAAGTTAAAAATATTAAATTTAAAATTTTATTTTATTTTTTTAAATATTTTATATATTTAATATTACTTTTATTAAGCTTTTTTTTACATTTGTTTGAATTGTTTTTTTATACTATGTTGAGTTATTTTGTTTAAATTAATAAAAAAACTAAATGAAAGTTGAAATTATAAATTTGTCTTTTATTAGAAATTTGTTAAATGCTGTATTATTCTCAGATGAAACTCTATAACTATCTGATTTAAATGCTTGTTATTTATTAGTTAGATTAGTAAAATAGTTAAATTCTAATTAGTTTAGTTTAACTGACTAGATAGAAATTATAGTTGCTGACTGAATACAACTTAAATGAAGAATATTATTAATAATAATAAAAATGTCAGATTGAATATATATATAAGTCAAAGAGAAGAGTTCAAGAAGAAATAAAGAGATATCCGATGCAAACAGGGCAAACATGGGCAAAGATAACTATTCAATATTCTCTTTTTTTGGTTCCGACACACACCACATGCAAATATACTACACTGCAGTACCTCCACATTAAACACCATCCGTTCTACTTTGGGCAAAGCATCTTACATCCCAGTTGATCATACCATTTGCTCAATTCGTACCCTGGTTAGCTCCAGAACTAGCCATGATCGAGTCGACTACCCCTCCTCCCGAGCCGGAAGGGGTCTTCTCGCTGCTTGATACAGATTTGTACAAGCTGACCATGCAATGCGCGGTGCTGAAATACTTCTCTGATGCCGGTGAGCTGCATCTACCTCCAGGATGCGATACACTTCAGTTAATGCGATTGCGATTGCGACAGCGATTCTTGTTTCCATTAGCTACCCCTCAATATGTGATCCTTGCTAATCATTCTCACATGGCGCGCGGGGCAGTGCAGTCCCCCTTGTGCGCGGGGTTATGTATGTTGCGCAGAAGTTACGTATACTTTCACCAATCGGACAAGGGATATGAAATTCACCAGAGCCGCCTACAAATGGCTGAAGAGCGAGACAGACAGTACGTTCCATCTCTCGTTGATTATTCATGTTCGCGATTTTGCCACTCAACTGAATGCCAAACCATTCCGCGGGGTATCTACCGTCATTTTTTTGTTCTCCATAAAGTATTATTTCTATCTAATGACCCACAGAACTTGCAAATATCTCCCTTACAACCGAAGAATGTGAATTCCTCAAATCTCAATGTCCATACCTCAACTCCGCTTACCTACGCTTCCTCTCGTCTTTCCGTTTCAAGCCTGCTGATCAACTCGACCTCTCCTTCACCCCCATAAACAACACCGGTTCAGAATCAGATATTGGAGATATAGACATAGCGATACACGGATTATGGGTCGAAACTATTCTCTACGAGATCCCCCTCCTAGCATTATCCAGCGAGGCTTATTTTAAATGGTGCGATCGCGACTGGGATTACCACCAGCAGAAAGAGAAGGCCTATCGAAAAGGTTCTGTCCTTCTGGAAAACAGGTGTACCTTCTCCGACTTTGGCACGAGACGGAGAAGGAGTTATCATGCACAGAGCCTGGTTATGGAGGGGCTCTGCCACGCTTCCGCTGATGCGAAAGCAAAGGGCTGGAAGGGGACCTTCTCTGGCACAAGTAATGTACACTTCGCTATGAAGCATGGGGTTGTTCCTGTGGGCACAGTTGCGCATGAATGGTACATGGGCATCGCTGCTATTACGGATAATTACGAGAATGCGAACGAGCTGGCCTTGCGGTATTGGCTGGGGTGTTTCGGGGAAGGGGTGAGTTCCACCACTTTAATTGTAACAATATTGCATATACTGGAGAAATTCTAAAAAATGCCTCCGAAGGTTCTGGGAATAGCTCTTACCGACACTTTTGGCACACCTGTTTTCCTCGAAGCGTTCAACAGACCAATACCACAGAACACGATCGCAACGCAATGGGAAGAAACTACCCAAGCCTCCTCAGCCGGCGGTAATTCCGCAACTGACAGACTACCCGAGACAAAACCTCCAATCGCAGCACCTATAAGTCCCTCATCGGAAGAACATGGTCATCTCCCAGCCAAAACGTACGCGCAAGTCTTTACGGGCGTCCGTCAGGATTCAGGCGACCCAGACTATTTTGTGAAGATGGTGCGCGACTTCTACGACAAGGTCGGGATAAAGGATAAGAAAACAATTGTCTTCTCCGACTCGTTGAATGTGCAGTTATGTATCGACTATAAGGTTATTGCTGAAGAGTCGGGTTTTCAACCTGTTTTTGGGCTGGGGACGTTCTTAACCAGTAAGTGTTTTCCGTTCCCCTTGTTCTTTGCCTTTACGGAACATTACTGATATGTTGAGCAGACGATTTCACCCAACTATCCGACCACAAGAAATCCGTACCGTTAAACATCGTCATCAAACTCTCCTCCGCCGGCGGGCGGCCAGCTGTTAAACTATCGGACAATTTAGGCAAGAATACTGGCGATACGCGTACAATTGTCAGGGTGAAGAAACGCCTTGGATACGTCGAGCGCTACTGGCAGAATGTGGATGAGACGAGCAGGTGGGGGAAGAGGGACGATTGATGCATAGGCTATTATGTGTCATACGTACGGACGGTTAGATCTCCACGGCAATAACAATGTGTATATATGTAGTATTCGTATCTGAGATAAAGGTTGCAAAAGGCAGCTTTAATATTTGACAATCCCATTATAACAATCAACTGCATGCTTCGATAGCAGTGGGATCGTATCTATATAACTAAATAAATAGTTACTAGCTGCAATAACTACAACCCTATTCAATCATGTATTCAGAGTAGTAACCCACCTGGTTCCGGGATGGCCACAGCTTCCCTTCACGTGAAACTACAGAATCTATATGTATCTGTAAGACAGGATAGTTAGATACGGTGATACAGCCATAGTGGCAGATTTCTCGCGCCTGTGGTGTATTTTACTTTACCATGGTTCCAATCTGCTGTGATTGCATGCAGCTTACCTGCTGTTTTCATCCCAAAGAATTTGCCTTTCTTTGATCATCTTTCTTCAATTGTCTTACTATTGATGGATATATTCAAAGTATTTGTCATTATGATGAAAGTCAGAATGGAGCAGGCATAAAATAGTAGTATTCATAATGACTAGCTAATTTATCTGAGCAGAACAACTGAAGAAAAAGAAGAAAAAGAAAAGAAAAACAGCAAAAAAAAATAGAATATATATATATATATATATGTATGTATGTATAGGTCTATGTAAGTCATAAGTGAGTCATAAAAGTGATATAACTATAGCAGTGGATGGATGAGTCATAGCTATAATATAAGATATAACATGACTTATCACTAAATAAGCTATATCATTAAATGAACAGCTTTTAATAAAACTAATTCAATTTGCTAGAATTCAATTAATTTCACAACAAAAAAATAAATATTAATTAGATAATTAAATAGTAATAAAAGTAATATCTAGTTTTATACAAAATAGATAATTTAATAAAATAGATGTATATTTAACTGAAAAATGTAATTATGATAAAAAATCTGATATAAAGTTAAAAAATTGATTAAAGAAGTATTAATTTTTAAATTAATAGTAAAAGTAGTAATAAACTACTTCAGAGAATTAAAATTAATATTACTTTTTAAATTAAAAAATTAAATAAAGTTTAAAAAATTAAAATTTAATAAAGATATCTACATCTGCTGTTATTTTGATATAGTTATAGTTGAACTGACTATTTTTATTTTATAATATGAGTATAAGTCTGTTCTTGCTTCTTAGCTTCAAGTTAAATTTTTTTAATTTCTCTAGTAAGATGTTGAGCTTTTCACAACTTTATCTTTTTAGTTTTTCTCTTTCTTATAAACTTTCTGAGTAGCTTTTTAAACTATTTATTATTCAATTTATTTATAATAAATCTCTTCAGATTTAAATACTTTTCAAAAATTATACTAAAATTACTTTTAAATATATTGAGTAGCTTTTTTTTTTTATTTTTTATAATTTACTTTCTGAATTCTTTTATAAAGTTATTAAATTTTAAATAATAATAAAAAATTAAGTCTGATTAAACTATTTGTGAGGACATTTAGAGTGAATGAACTGAGTGTCAAAAGAAAGTATGAGAAGCTCTATAACTAGAATTATAAGAAAGTAGGTATATAGATATGATGAGCATTACAGAAGGAAGAGAATAGCAATGGATGAAAATGTATATATAGAATTGAATAGTAGCTAATCACTGAATCTCTTCAAGAACTTTGAGAATTCAGAGTGTTTATATACATAAATGAGTAGTAATAGATTTTATCTCTAGTCTTTCATGAAAGAGGGAATTTAGTAATGTAATGATCTGATTCTTCATGAAGTGCTGATTCTATTCTTCAGAAAGTGCTGATTCTAAAGAACTGATTTTTGAGAGGTGCTGATTCTAAGGTGCTTTGATAAGCAGTATGCAGAGATTAGCACTTTAGTAAGCAGTGTGATAAGCAGTGTGAGGGCAAGGAGCTAGTCTAGAGAGTTTTGGCATCACAGTTGCTCTCTTTTTTATAGATACTGACCTCAGCAGCTATAGAAGATGATTATTTGTTGATATAGAGATAAGATGTGAGCATGAAGTGTTTGTTGATATAGAAGATAACACTTATGATGCTTATTCAGTGATGTTGAGGGACTGATTGTGAGTGATGCTTGCTCAAGCTGAGTAATCTGTCTGTAGTGTGTGATTATTCCCATAGAGAGAAATACTGTGGTCCTTGTCACCTCACACATAAACTGTGTATTCAAGTGAGTGTAGTGCATCTTTAGCTGCTGTGTCAGAGAGGTTATTGCACTATCAGTGTGATGACTGATTGTTGATTGTCTAGTTTACTCTGTTTTCTGAGTTGAATTGACTGCTTGCTCTTCAAGATTTTTTATTCTTTGCAGAGAGAGTGGGTCAGTGAAGATCTCATGTTATAGAGCAAAGCTGCTGTGTCTGATAGCAGTGTTGACAGCTTCATCTTGTGCTGCTCATTCAGTGAAATCTCATGCTGCTGTCTTGATTGATGTTGTCTGTCACACTCAGCACAGAGTTGAGGCAGCTGGTGTGCTGATAGTGTTCTTCAAGAATGAATGCTGATTTGAAGACTGTAGCAGTGTTAACCAGCAGTCTGAGAATATCTCAATCTTTAAGATGTCTCTTTGAAACTAGATTTTTCTTCTTCAGAGATTTTCTGATCAACATGTTGAGTGGTTCCAATAAGTGTGATGTGGACTTATGAATGAGCATTTGATGCAGTGATAAGAGAGGGTCTGTGCTCAGAGCAGAGATTGAGAGAGGCTCAGAGTTTGAAGTGTTGATTCTAAGAGATTTCACACAGAGTGTGTGCTCTTGATCATAGACCTGTGTGCAGTTAACAAGAGTTGTAAGTATTTGTGAGAGTTAAATTTTCAACTCTGTTTGACACTGTGATGAAGCTTCTGTTGCAAGATAGAAAGCATGATCTCATCATGAAAAGAGTCAATGTAATCTGCACAGTAACTGAGTCCATCAGCTGGGTTTTGTTTGTCTGAGTGATGATGCAAGATGAAGTCATATGCTGACAATACTTCCACTCATCTAGACTGACATCAATTCAGTGTTTTAGTCATCATAAAATACTAAAGATTAGTATGATCAGAATAGACAAGAATTGAATGTTGACTCTCTTTTAGATAATGACATCAATTCTTGAAAGATGCAACAATTGCAAGAAGTTTCTTATCATGAGTATCATATCATGTTTCTGTATCTAGGAGTTTGCAAGATCAGAATGCAATTGAATATCATTGATCATCATTCTGTTTTTGAGAGATAATGACAGTCACTGCTGCTGTAGAGATATCAGATTCAATCTGAGTTTCTCAGCTTGAGTCAAAATGAGCAAGTAGAGAAGTCTGCATAAAGTGTTCTTTTAGAGTGTCAAAGATGTATTGTGCATCTTTTATTCATGTGAACTGCAGCTTTTACTCCTCTTTCTTTGAGATCTTTGTGAGATCAAAGAGAGGCTCTGTGATTTTGAAGTAGTTTTTGATGAAGCAGTGATAGAAGTTTGTAAATCTCAAGAAAGTCTAAACTTTCTTAATACTAGTTGAGACTAGCCATTCTGTAATGGTTGCTACTCAATTTGATTCTATTTTAACACCCTGGGGTCCAACAATGAACCTCAGGAAGGAGGTTTTGTTTTTGACAAACTCATATTTAGTGTGCTTTGCAAACAGATTCGCGCAGTCTAGACATTAAAGTATCTTTTGTACATGCACCTTATGCTCATCCATTGAGTTTGAATAGATAAGAATGTCATCTAGATAAATCACACAGCATATGTCAAGAAGGTCTGCTAGAGTGTAGTTTATATAAGTTTGAAAGATGACAGGGGCATTTGCAAGCCCAAAAGGCATAACATTATACTCAAAGTGGCTATATTGTATGTGGAATGCTGTTTTTCATCTATCACTGCTTCTAATGCATATTCTGTGATAAGCATCTCTAAGATCAATCTTAGAGAAAACTTGTGCTTCAGAGAGTCTATCTAGCATCTCACTCACAAGAGGTAATGAATATCTGTTTTTGATTGTGAGACAATTCAGATCTCTGTAGTCTACACAGAGTTATAAACCTTTATTCTTCTTTGGAACAAAGAGAATAAGAGCATCTGCAGAGCTCTGAGAAGGAGATATTCAGTCTTTTTTCAATGCACTATTCAAGTAGTTCTGAAGAGTTTTCAACTCTGTTTCAAAGAGATTGTAGATAGACATGAATGAGAATCTGACTTCTTTTTCAAGATCAATCAGATGCTCTGCATTAGATACAGATGCACTGAACGCATTCTCTTCAGTAAAAAGATGTGCATATGATCAGGCATAGTCAGGCAGGTCATTGATGAAAGCTGTATTTGCAAGTAGATTGTCTTCTAAAATTGTTAAAATTTCAGAGAAAGGCTCAGAGACTTGTACAGAGGTCTGAGATCCTCTGACATGAAGCTCAGAGATGAATGCAGAGTCCTCAGAGGTTCTGATGAGAGGGCCAGAGGCTTGTGAGGTTGAGACATATACTATTGTAAATATGTAAGCAGAGATGCCAGTGAGTAATTCATTAGCAGCATCTGTCACACTCAGGATTATCTCTTGATTGTTTGATTTTTGACAGAAATAGAATTCTTCATCTTTTCAATCAATGAGAGAATTGAGTTGTTTGAGCCAGGGAAATTCTAATATCATATCATAGTCTGAAAGTTTGACAATATGAAAAAAGTGAGATTCTCTGACTATAGTTTTCTTGCTATCTGAGACTTCTACCTTTAGATCAATGGTTTTAAATGAGTGTGTTTGATGACCATCAAACCTCTGTATTCTGTGTGATATACGCTCTGTTGGTTGCAATTTATATGATTTGACTCAGAATTCACTGATAAAACTTACCTGGGCTTCAGAATCTATAAGAGTGAGAATTGATGTGTCTTCTGTGAGTGTTGGAATTTGAGCAGAAAGAAGAAAGAATAGACTTAGTGATTGCTGATTTTTGAGAGTGTTAAGAGTTGTCATTGCAGCATGAA